CACTGAATCGTGACGGAGTTCCTGAGGAGCGAGTTGATGCTCTGTATATAAGGAGTTTGGGAGGCTGTCCAGGTTTCTGAAGGTACCAACTGAGATCAGGACCTATATTTGAACTCCCTGTTGCGCTGATGGTCACGGTCCCACCAAGACTGACAGACTTGGCTTCATCAGTCTGAGTCAGAAAGTTATTGGCAAATGACTCTGAAATGAAGAAATAAAACAAAGACTTTAACAGAATCTTTTAACTTTCAAATAGTAAACATCAGTAAGGCATTTTAAACTCTCAAACTCAATGTACACAGAAGGAGAAGATAACATGTCACCAAACATAAAATTTGTTTTATATGTCAGAAATGTTTTCAAAACTCTCACCCTGACTCAGAAAGCCTAACAAAAGAACCACCAACATTGGAAACACCATCCTGACTCAGTTTTCAGTGGAAGTGAAGGAGAGCATGTGTGACAGCAGAACTTAAACTGTGAGGAGCAGTGATGCATGAAAGTGTGCAAAACACACTGTAGGAGGAAACCACCCACCTCTCCCAATGAAACAGAAAACACAGAGGTCGTGTGAGGAGAGGCTCATTCAACCTTTCCATTATATTTGTCTCATTAACAGGGCCCATATTAGTTGGTCGCCAGATACTGGTTGGTTCATTTTGCTCATTCTGACAAACCAAATCTATATTTAAATGTAAATACATGAACATCAATTAAAAGGAAGGTATATTAAACTGATGTAATATTATCTTTTTTCTATGTGCTGAAAGATGTTCAGTTCTACACAACTCATGACAGCATAAATCTATGAAAACCCAACAGGTTTGAGCTGATTTCTTTACAGGTACCTGTGCTGACTGTACAGATCGGAGAGACGGTATCGCCTTGTTTTATAGACGTTGATAATTGTGTGTCAGAATCAGAGCTAGGTTAGCTGTCAGTCCGGTAAAATATTTAAAATATATATTTTTTAAGATTCTTTTTTATCATCGCATAATAAAAACTTTTTTTCAAAAATGTTTTTTTCTGGGATGATAATATGGAATATATAGCAAATATTCAAATTACAGCATGGGTCAGTGAACACACCTGCACCTGGAGAGTCTGCATGGGAAATTATAACCCTCTGTTTATATGAAAACAAATAGTGCCCTCTTGTGTCATAAAAAGAGAATACACATAAAATTAAATCCACCAAATTGATACAAAAAGCAAACTGGACATCGGAGCGACTCTGAAAGAGACACAAAATTACAGGAGTGGCTTAAAAAAAATATGCCCTGCCTCTTTCTAGTGATCTATATTAAAAATAATAATAATTGCTATAATGATCTTTGTCGAGAGTTTGTGTTTCTTTGCAATTTTGCATCTACATACATTATTTTACAGTATTTTGCATTGCTTAACATGACAATTTCCTTTTGGTGTTTTTTTTCCACACCTCATATTTGTTTGTAGTGTTTTGTAGTCATTTTTTCCTGTTTTATACCTCTTTTTATTGCATCCTTTTATGGTCATTTTTCACCTCCGAGTAGCCAAAAACTGTCACTTTGTTTGAAGTGGGACAGTCACTTAACATAACAGTTTATCCATGGATCTCATTAATTGAGATCCAAATCTCTGAGGCCATACTTTAATTATAATTTACATCATGTCTAAATTTTATTCAGTGCCAGAAATTATTCTTTTCAGTCTCACATATTTCTAACTGGAGCAGGTGTTCTGGTTAAAAAACACATAATGATGTATATTACTGTGTCCTAAGGAATTGTGTCAACTTGTTGAGTAAACACATCAACAAGTTTCAGTGTTTGCAGTGATTGTCTAAAGTTTCTGGAAATTGAAACAGTCTCATCTGTTACTCCAGCCACCTAAAACAAATTTCATAATACTATGTGTCTAAGGGTTATCATTATATTGTGATTTTTGAGTGCAGATTGCATAGTTCAGGAAACCAAAGATGAATTTTAAAAAAAGAATCTGAAAAAAAAACAGAAATCCTCTTTTGTTGTGTTCATTTTACCAATAAAACAATCATATGCATAGTAAGAGCTGTTCAAAATACCGAACATTACACAAAATACAAAATATACAAAAGAAACCTGCTACACCTCCAACTACCGCCAGAGGGCTGAAACGTAGAACTTCAGAACATTTTTCTTCCAATTAAAAAAAAATGAAAACGTTTCATTCACAAAAAAAGACTACAAGCAAAAGACCTGAATATTCCTAGAATTAATCTATGCAGGAAGATCAAGATTCACTCATCTTTCATCGTTACTGGGTGTCAGGCTTCTCTATTCCTTGCAACACTTTCACTTTTCCCTTGCTGTCTAAATTAACTCTGTATTCATCACTCTGCTTCAGTCATTTTCTTGTCCCCCTTCTGCAAACCAGTCAGCCTCTGTGTGATGATCTTTAAATCGCACTGCTTTTCTGTCATTCAGCCTTTGAGACTCTCATTGTTACTTCCTGCCTCTTCCCCATCCCTACCTCATTCTAGCCAGATCGAGCTCCTCACCCTTATCTCCACCTGCTTCATCTCCACCACCAGCATCTAGACTCCAGGGGTCCTGTTCTACTTCCTGTTCTACATAGCACTATGGGGGCGTAATTGCTAAATAGCTGTATTTCAATAAATCATGTTCAGTTCCTTCAAAATGATGTCTCCTTATTGAGGTGCATGTGATACTAAAGCACAGTGAGATAAATTTCACTAGTGATGTCTCAGTTTTACCTTAGTTAGCCATGAGTGTGACAACCATTATGCCAAGCAGAAGGACCCTAAGCAGTATAAACTGATATCTCAATATAAAGACACAGAAGCTGTAGTCAAAGGCAAGATTTCTGATATCAGTATTTTTTTTGGTTTCCATCTGTATTATGACATCCACTCACAAATCACATGATTTGAGCAAGCCTTTACCCTCTAATGGCAAAAATATCCTATTTGATACACAGGTTTTTTTGGGTTTTCGAGATCGCTACGTCATCAGAGTGATCCCCCCCCCCCCCCAAAAAAAAAAAAAACTAAACAAATTGCACAATATATCTTCAAGCAATGACCAAATGTAACAACACTTGTTGGAAAATACATATTTATTTACTTATTTTGTCAGAAGATTCAATAACCACTCCATTTTCAAAAATAAATAAGCAAATTAGAATTTTCTGGCAATTGTTTCGTGGTTCAGGCTTTACAGGGTTAACTTTATCATTTTATACCAGAATTCCTCAGAAGTTAGTTCTGCAGACTTCCAGGATCCTGAAATTATCTCATCTAAATGAAAGGAATGATACATGTTAAAATAATCACTGAAATGCCATCTGCTGTGAAAAGTGCATATTTTCATGATCATATCTCCTTGTACCAGCTAGAACACAATGTGGCAGATTTCTTTCCTGCCATTAAAAGAATGTATAGTGTCATTGGACCATATTTACTAATAGTTGTTTAAACACAAATAATGCGTATATGAATGTTCCATCTGCCAATCTGTGATTTATCAATATTTCATACCTGAATTTGTTTGTACTTCAGTTCATTAGTGGTCTTGGTAGTGCCCATTTTGAGTCCCTATATCTTTCTGAAACATTCACTAATGTTCACTGGTTTTTATATGATACATTGAATTCTATTAAATGTAAATGTATTGTCATGCACTGTAGCTTCATGACTCCAAGATTATAAGCATTAGAATTAATGACTGAACTTTTATTTTAGGGGTAAAAGTATCAATGGGAAGGTGGTCAATTTTTACCATTTTAATGTTGCAAAAATAATCTTATGAACATTAACTGTTATTAACACACATTTGATCTTATGACTTAATACACTTGAGGAAAAAAATATTAGATTTTTAAAAAAAGAAGACTGGAAATATGGCAAATGTCATATTAGAAAAAATATTGACATTTTGGATAATTCTATTAACTGGCAAAAGGATGAGGCACATGATCAATAGTGGGTCATGACCTTTTAAGTGACAACTCCCACTAGGGTGTAAATACCTGGGGCTCTCCACCATTTGGTTTTAGAACTGAAGAAGCTTCTTTGATGAGAGGAAACTCATCTTCAACAAACTTACAGAAGTCCAGTGACTTTCTTTCCAAGCTCCCAAGACATGAAATTGCACTGATTTTTTTTTTAATTTCAGGATCATTCTGTGAATTAAACCTTTGTGAAGCACGGAGATTTCAAGATCCTAGCAACACCCTTGCTTTATAGTTATACAACCAATTCAGTTTGTGGTATAATTATCTCTGACACGTATACTGTGATTTCCCTGGGCTGTATTTCAGGTCATGAAAGGTGACCAATTTTATTCACTTCATCAGTCATCTTTAACGGCTTGGCTGATTAGTTTCTAATTTCAGGTAAAGTCTTAAAAAAACATATAGTTTGCAAGGTTTAATTTAGCTACGTTAACACATTTTAACTTTCCTAATACAATCCCAGTCATTCACCACAATGCATCACCCCAAATACACCAAAAACAACTTGTTTCACAACTGTTTATTTATTCAAAACTCAAAAGATGAGTGTTCTGTAGATGTTTATATGGTCGATGAATGCGAGTTCCAGAGTAGATAACAGCCAGTTTGCAAAGTAAAAATAACTAGGGAAGGACAAGGAGAGTTCCTTGTTTGATGACCAGTCAACTGGTCTTAGATCTCTAAATAATGACTTTCTCTGAGACACCTCTAAAACCCTGGGCAACCCTTTACAGCAAATTTAAAGTATGAACACAGCATGATTAGCAGTAGAACATGTGAAAATGTCTCTGTTTTTAATTCAGTGTCAGGCTTTTTCATATTGTAGAGTTAAACCTTTAGATCTGCTACACTCGATAACCAAGTTGCCAGAATCCAGGTGCCTTTCCACCTTTACATTTTACACCTAAATAGACTGCGGTATGTCAGCCTAAAAAGATACAATGGCAATTAACCAGGATCGTGCGACATCCAAGAAAATCTGCACACAAAATACACATAAAAATATCACTCATTCACAGTCAATGTGTAACATTCTCATGCTCAGATATGTTGCTGATCAATAATGAATAATTGCAGAGCACTTATCATAAGTCTTGAGTCATTACACCAAAGAATTTCCTTCAGCATTTCTACATGCCATGGACCCACCGTCACAGAAACCAAAAGCTTGACTGAAGCACAAACCGATATGAGTAACACACATGGCCTCAGCTTTCAGTTCACGTACAGTAGGTCTGCACCAATTTTGCTACAGAAAGTTAAATGAAATATAAATAATAAATAATAAAGTGTTAATAAAAAGTCAGTTTTGTTACAGTTTTAGTAGCTCAAGGAGTGTCCTGATTGCACATGGGAGCAGTGTTGTCCTGTGCTCTAACAGTAGTATTAACAACGCACCAAAGGCAAATAAGTTACTCCATAAAGAGCAAAGACATTGTTCCTTCGGTAATCAAAATGTCGGTAATATTTACAGACTTAAACTCAACTGTTCGCCATAACAACCTCCATGCCAGCCAGCTCTCGGCTCTATTTTCTGCATTACTCATGCTGAAATAACTGGGGATGTGTCATACATTACTGTTATTGTTACTGTGTAAATGGAGGCAGGGAGGAGCAGCAAATATTGATACGGAGATGTTGTGAAGAGTGTGTAGATGGCCAGAGGATGGAGGGGAGGTTACCAACAGATATGCACATGAGAAAGAAAGGAAAACACAGACAGAAAGCTGGGATGATGGTGAGTATTTACAGAAAGCGTGCAAACAGGAGAAAAAAAATGAGGGGAAAAAGAAGAGGGGAAGAAAGATGGAGATGTTTGAGGGTAGGGACACGATGGGTTCAGTATTCGTCCTGGTCCAGGTGAGCTTGCTCATCGAGGTCTTCATCATCTGGAGGTGCAAAGCCTTCCTAAGATACAGAAAAAAAAAATATATATATATTATCATATCACCATATTAGAGCACTTTGCTCTTGCACTGCAGGCTTACTTGTTGTTCCTAGAGTATTTAAAGTAGAATGGAAGGTGAGCCTTCAGTTTTCAGGCCCCTCTTCTATGGAAGCAGCTTCTAGTTTGGATTCGGGAGACACACACTATTGCAACTTTTAAGATTAGGCTTAAAACTTTCCTTTCTATAATTAGGGCTGGATCAGGTGACCCTGAATCCTCCCTTAGTTATGCTGCAATAGGCGTAGGCTGCTGGGGGATTCCCATGACCCTGTATTGTGTTCTCCACACCTGTTACATTTTTGCACTGATCATCATCTGCATTCATGTATATATCAATCTGCTTAGCACTTTTTCTTTTTATTTAAGTGTTTGTCTTATCGTATGTCTCACACAAAGTACCTAATTTCCTAATGTTGTAAATCTGTTCAACATTTGGCAATAAAACCCTTTCTGATTCTGATTCTGATTCTAATTCTAAATTGGTCATGGGGGATCATATGATTGTTGGGTTTTTCTCTGTATGTATTTTAAAAAGTGCCTTGAGACAGCTGATGTTGTGATTTGCGTTGAATAAATTGAATTGTATTGTATTGAATTGAATTGAATTGAATTGAATTGAAAGCAAGAAGGGCAGAAAACCTGATAATATTTTATCAGGTCTTCTGCTCTCCTTGCTTTTCACTGTCAACAGTGGAGAGAGTATGGCAATCTGTTATATATCTGTTATAATGGCTAGATACCTCTGTTGCGTAGAGAATGTTAATTATCCTGCTGAGAATGGGGTTGTTTTCACTCTCGTGCTCCTGGCAGATCAACTCGATATCCCGTAGTTTGCTGAAGTAGAAGTCTCTTTCCTTCTCAAGGCCATCTACAGTCAACTTCAACTCCATCAACTTAGAAAAACAGAAAAAGGTGCTTAAGCTGGTAGTCAAAAACTAGTCTGGAGGATGAAATCAGAACAAAAGAGCCACACGGCCTTCTGTCCTTCCCGTTCAACTCTACCTGTTGATTTAGCTCCATGATTTCAGCATCACTGCCCCCATTTCTTGACAAAGTCGGATTCTTCCTCAAGGCTGGAGTGTTATGTTGGACCCGCTGCGGTGTTGGCATGTTTTTGGGAACTGTTGGGGATGTCCTCTGTGGTCCTGGAGTGGTTAGAGATGGTGGGAGTGGTTCAGCATTTCATTTAAGACAGATTTATTGCACTTATTTTGGCTTGTTAGCAGTTGTGGCGATGGATATAGCACATTATAGAGCGCTGATGCAATCATCTTGTAGAAGAATTTTATGCCTTTGACATGTAAAAGGTTTCAAATTGTTTTACAACTAAACTGATAGAAATGACACATATTTAGAGTGCTGAGGTTAAATAGCCAAATTATCGATTCATTTATATAAATGACCAAAGGTTGTTTTAATTTGACTCAAGATCTTAAAAACGAAAAGACCTGTTGCCTACTAAACCTCTATAAGTGCTTAAGCAAAGGTGTTTCAGATAAACTCAAAGACAAAACATGCGAACACATTATCCACAGGCTGTATATAAAAGATGGAAGCGGCTTCCAGGTCTTAAAAGTAACGCTAATCAAGTAGTGCAAAACTTATTTTTATTTATCATTGTTTTTTGTTTTTACTGGCCAAGATGGGGTGGCTTTCCTGGTTGCAAATAGTTTTTGGGACTGTGCACAAGTCAGTGAAAAAATGCCCTTAATTCTCACAATGTATTGGTTGCTTCGATACATTACAAATGATATTCATGTTATAAATTATGGGCCTAATAATGGTAAAATAATTGCTATTCTTCAGGGTGCAACAGGCTAAGGAGCTGGCTGTTCAGTTTTTCTACTACGCACATTTTTAAGCCTGTTTTCCAAGTTGCTCAAACTGTTCATTATTAGCACCTGGCTAACCAAGATGGCTAACTAGTGCAAAAACCGGACGCTCATGTTCAAATAAGGTAAATGCCAGACTTGAGGCTTCGAAACAGCAGCCCACAATGCAATGAGTGACATCCATCTTTTATATACAGTCTATGGTATTTTCAGTTTTAAAAATAAGTGCAATCATTCTTCCCATTTATAACACTGCTTGCTAGTGACAAAGTCACAAAGCAGGCTTATGACATACTACAGCTTAAATTAGATTGGTTGCCATGATCTTCAAGCAAAAAGCTTTTACAGAGACAGGGCGAGGCTGTTCAGGCTGACACCACTCTCGTTAGTAGAAAGGGAAGAATTTGTTGTTATCAAACCAGCTTTAATAGAGACAAAGCTGCAACAGTGTTGCATCAGTCGCTCGATGCAGGACACTGGGGAGATAACTATATTTGCTGTTTCTGCAGGTGTTTGGGCATTATTGATCATGATCGATCAGAACAAATGTGGATTTTCTGCCAAACTAACGCTGCATCCCACTAGGCACTGTGACGATTACTAGAATATTACCAATGACTCACTTGTACCTAAAGTGTCATGGTTTTGCGAATGCTGGGCAGTGAGATGGATCAAAGAAGTCATTCTGTGAATCGTGCTGCTCACACCACTTGCTTGCAGGGAGCGCTTTTGAGCCATCCAAAGCTCAGCAAGACCGTGCAGCAAAGGCAAAATGTTTGGCTTTACCTTGGTTTCTCTTTGGTTTGTGGATAAAGTGATCACCTGGATTGGGGGGAGGGGCCACGTCCTGCCCCTGTCTGGCTAGTAAAGGGTCATACTCCTTGCCGTCATAGTTGGCGTCGAAGAACTTCTTGAACCACTGCACAAATTCAAAGTTGTCCTGGAATTTCCCTTTTACAAGCTTTTCTACAGGAATTATCTGGACAATGAAAACAGGAAATAGTTGAAAAGCTCCACTTGATACACACACGTATATCAGTATGAAAGGTAAAACAATTAATTATCTCAGGTATCATAAATGAAATAAATAATAAAACCATAATAAAGTGATTCTGACTTTGTCGACACTCATCCGTTTAAAAGCTGCCTGAAGAACTTTGAAGTTGTGTATAAATTCATGCTCCAGCTTGGCTTGAAATTTGACCTTCTTCAGAAGAATGCACCCCGGAAACAACATGTCCATGAACTGGCAATACGCCGCTCCTTGAAAACATAAAGACACAACAAATCGATCTCGTTATTTCGGTCAAGAGTTGCCCCAAAATTACCTCAGCAGCTTATTTCAGGGGGAAAAAATAACCTCAGGCCTCACCTGAACAGAGCTGTTCAATCTTGGTGTAAGTGAGATGCAAAGAGTCGTTGACCCACGCCAGCATGTCATGTCGGCTGAGGTTGTCAATGGACACAGATGTTGCGTACACATTCACTGCCATCCCTGAGTCGAAAAGAGAGAAACAACCACTCAGCTACATTTTCCTGTTAGCAAGACTTGAAAACCTTAAATGGAAGTTGAAGGAAGAATATTGGTCAATGATTAATCTCTCTGATTGGTCAGTGCAAGGTATGAGTATAAAAATGTAGGGATTGTTTTTATAGTATAATCTAGGCAAAGTAACCATTCTGCATGCTCCTTAACCAAGCTACCAACTACTGTACATAACATTTACCAAGCTTCTTATATTGGATTTGAAAGACTGAAACAGGACTTATTTAGGCCTTAAATAATGATTATTATTGCAATTAATTACTTGCTAAAAACAATGTGCCTATTTCTCATGCAAACACTGCAAAACATATAAACCTACTATACATGATTATTATGCCATTATCTACTACACCACTATGGCTTTTTATCACTAACAATTAACAATCATTATTAATTAGTTTTTAAACTGTGGCTTTCTTCCATGTGTTCCTTTTCCCTCTGCTCTTTTATCTTTCCCCTCACCCCCAACCAGCTACAACTGCTCCTCCCTAATCCTAGTCCTGCCAGAGGCTTCTTCCTGTTAAAAGGGAGTTTTTCCTTCCCACTGTCACCAGCACTTGCTCATAGAGTGTCAACTGATTGTTGGAGTTTTCTCTCTAATATTATAAGGTCTTTAACTTACAGTATCAAAGCACCCGAGGGTTGCTGTGATTTGGCGCTATATAAACAATGTTTATCTCGGTTAAACATAAAGAGATAGCAACACATTCAAGAAGCTGGAATTAGGAAATGTTAAACTGACTTCTGACTTCATAAACTTGTGAATCTACATCACTGCACTACTTTCACTGAATCCATTTTTTTTTTTTTTTTACTGTACTGACCTGGATTTCTTCGTTGGGCCATGTTAATATTAAACCCTATAATCTATACAGGCAGATTCCAAAACTGCACTGCAGTTTCTTCAATTTTTAGGAATTATTTTTTCACCCCCTGTCTGACTGTAAATCCTGGGGCTGGGCCACAGTCTGTTGCAGCTGTAAAGCCCACTGAGAATGGGGATATCAAGCTTTTAGGGAGGAAATTTGACTTTCAGACATAAACTGAGTCCCTAAGAAGCATCTTTATTCTCAGTTCTAATCTAAAAATGTGTTTCAAGCATAATCCTCCCTGATTATACAGAGAAAAAAAAATCCGGAGTATTTGTCAGCAGCTTTACACATCTGGCATCTCCAGCCTTCTCTGTGCTCACTTTGCTTGCCTGTTAATGCGGTGTCATGTCCAAATGATCTTGTAACACCTCAGACCTTTCCTGCACCAATATGCATATTAACACGGGCAACGTGGCGACTTTAAAATGATGCTTTTTAAGGTCACACGCCGCTCTGTCTGCACCTGACAGCCAAAGACTAATGAAACCACGTCTGTCAGTTTTTAGTTTGATGCTGAATCGTGCTGTGATTTCTGATGATAACACTTCTATTGTGAATGCACCTTCAGCAACGCATTCTCCCACGGGCCATTGGCTATACTGAAATTGCATGGCTGTAGCGTCTAACCCCACGAGCAACTACTAGCCAGGATGAGGAAAAAATCACAATGTTTCAGCTACATGAGCAGCAAAGGACCACGCAGTGGGCGTACATTTATTAAATAAGGGCACGAAGGGAAGTCTATCTATTCTCCAAAAATCTATCGGGCCTTGGAAAAAGCTCCCATAATGACTGCAGCAAAAAATTAATAAATAAAATCCTGAGCGCAAACCGCTGAAGTCAAGCAAGAGCAAATGGGCGGGGGTCTGACATTTCAACCCGAGCTGAGAACAATAAATGTGCTCGTTTGCTGGGTGCTTTTGGTTAAAAAAGCCGCAACGCTGGGTGTTGCTCTCATAGCGGCCCCCTCTACAGGCCTCCCCGAATACCTCAGGACTGTCAGCGCACGGGAAATATCCTCGCTGCATGGGAATAAAGCACAGCTCCCCGTTAAACCCCTTTACGCGCAGAAAAAGGAGAGATTTAAGAGACGGGGTGGGTCGGCAGGGCGTAAATGCGGCGATACTCACTGTATTCAGGAGCGTCTGTGGTGTTATCACGCTGGCAGTATTCCTTATGTCAATGCCCGTTGCTGTCGTCGTTGTCAGACCCTGCGCGGTGCAGTGCTTGGTAACGGGCCGCCCTGTCTGGGGCTGCAACAATTCAGCCTCTACTGCGCGTGCGCCCGACTCCATGCTGTTAAAGGTTCATTATAAATAGGACTTTGGCCTGTTCCAGCTAAGAGACACATGATGTGTCTGGTTGGATCTTAGGACTGCGAGTGACTAAGGTTTTTGTGGGGTCAGGCTTCACATGTTGCTGTTTTATCTGCTGCTGGATAAGATATGTGAACGAAGGACAAAGTGGAGTGATCATTTTTTACAAAAGAACTGTTTTAGAATTTCTATGGGTTGATTTAATGTGCAAACTGCTGTTAATACTGCTGGGTCCAGTATTTTAGTTGTGATCTGTATCTATTATATCTACAGTATAAATTTAATTTAGTTTGACAGTTTCCAATCAAGTGGTCAGACCCTTTTTGAAAAAGAAGAAAAAGCACTCTTATATTTTTTGTCTAATTATATATGCCATCTGTTTTCAGTTATTTACATTTGTCCTATTAAGTGAAAATTGTTATTGGTGAAATGTGACGAAGGAGCCTAACAAGCCAAAAGAGTTACTAGCAATGGCAAATGTCTGCGAAATATAGAGAAGTATGAAAAATGTAATGTAAAAGCATAAAACTGGATAAAATTGTAATTTTCCTGTGAAAGAATGTGCAGTATATCGAGTATAGCCAGGAATCAGACACAGGATTTGATTTCATTGTTGTTTATTTGCACTCACATCATGTGATAGAGAGCTCCAAGGGGCGAAAAAAGGAGATAAAAGGATTCAATGTGATGACACATTGTTCAGCACCAGTGTACGTTAGGTGGGGAAAAGACACAGCATAATGCACTGGAGCAAAATGTGAACTCTGTCCAAAAAGAAACAGTGATGGAGGAGTTTTACTAGAACATGCATGAAGATCTTGTGAACATAACTGATTCTAAAATGAGCTAAATCCTGAATGCATGATCAAAATACAAAAAAAGAGAGAGAATCGGTTGCCGAGACAAATATTCACAAGTAGTAACTACAAAATGAACAGTAAAAATACAGTATTAGAGAACTTGAAAAAGTATCAGTGCTTTTCTGTAGTTGCTAAACAAACATACAAACTTTCAGTGTCATAAGAAGGCATTTGATCCTCTGAAGATTTCAACTTTATGAACACTAAAGTGGATCCCTTCACCGCTTCTATACAGAGCTTAACAAATTTTATCAGACCACCTGTCATAAAAAGAAGAAAACACAAATATTTTATAAATCTGTCAAAAACTTACTAAAAACTAAAATTATATTGTTTGTTAGGCAAGTAAAATATACTTTTTTATACCCAAATTTTTAGCAGGCACAAATTTGGGTCAGAAATTATTCAAGCACAACATTCAACCACTAAAATAAATGTTTCTACTGAGGAATGTAAGTAAATAGCTGTAATTTGGCATCTGAATCAAAAAATGATCATGTGTTTAACTATTTCATCTCTTTTTTTGTAAAAGTACATTTGAAAGTTCAGGAGTTCATTTGGGGCACCGGTGGTAACTCACACTGTGTGGTGGTCTAATAGGTTTGTTGAGCACTGTATGTGCTTCACAGTGGTGTGCTACATTAGACGTGTCAGTCAGATGACCGATAACACCCTGACCACAGTGAACCAAAGTTGTTAAGTTGTTAAAAGTGCACCAGTGGTACAGGATGATGTGTTCTCAGGTGAGAAAAAGGCCATTTGGGTGAGACTGTTTGCTCTCTGTGGAAATAAATATGATCAGAAAAGATGCTAACATGTTTAGTATCAGTGCTTGTTAAAGTTCTTCTAACTATGCTAACATGCACAGTACTCACAGCATAGCTTCATTCACATTTGGTGGAGGTGGAACAGAAGTCTATTCTGCTATAAGGCTGTTGAACCTGATGAACCAGTGAGCAAAGACTTCATGTTCTTATTTGTGTAATCATTCCAACATAGTAGCATCAAAAGAACATAACAAATAATGCAATATAAAAAAATGATAACAAAAAACAGTAAGCTTGAATTATGATATTCCTCATCATTTGATCAGTAGCAACTCTTCCTTTCACAACTGACATTTTTTAATGTCACGTCGACATCCTTGTAGGAATTTGTCACATTTCATTCATCGTGGCTCTGAGTAAAAAGACATTTTGTGACACTTGTGACATGAAATCATGTAAAAAGGCATCTAAATAGTACATGATACAAGTGCAAAATCGTATTTTACAGTGAGGTAACACAATCGCATCATAAAAACCTTGACTCACCTTCATATTTCTAAAACTGTTAATAAGACTCAACATTTTCCCCTACCAGAATCCAATAACCAAAGTAACTCAACTGCAACTCAATTTATATCTGCTGCTTATATTTGGTTAACATTTCACTGGAATTTGGTAGCAATAACCACTTAGCAAACATTTTTCCCTGGCCGTATTGCAGTATAATTACAGCCACGTCATACAATTTTACAATTCTAAATAACAGCACTGAGTTCAAAATGAAAACATGACTCCGTTACTCCACACATGTTCTAAAGTAAAACAAGTCTTCTTGCTTGGCCATACATTTTCCTCAAATATCATTCTTCTGCTTTACGTAGCAGCATTCTGACTGGTTACCAGATCCCGCTGGATCTTCCACCAGGAGGAGCAAGGATCCTCGCTGAGGATCTCTTTGGAATGTTGTCATCGATTTGAGCACCTGGAGCAACCGGGGACAAGATCACGTTGGATTAGGCAACGAAAAACAAACAACTGCTATTGCCTTGAAGAACTTACTTGAAGCTCAGTCATACTTTGCAGTAGTACAGTAAAGGCTTCTCTAAAGAGCTTATGTTAAGTTCCGGGAGATTTAGGAAATGGAGCATAACTAAAAGGATGGAAGTGTTTGTTTGCTTTCCATTTAATCAAAGCATTTATGGTTTTGATAAAACTATTGGTAAGTAATTTGATGTAAGGTACAAATACAAGGATTCCTTCAGCATAAATGTTCACTATAACTACACTCCAATTATTATCTTCCCAGGTGAAGTGACTTCCCAGGCATAAAGCAACACGTGTTGCACAGTTAGAATCATTATTGGAGTTTTAACCTTTTCAGACGTGTTCTTCAGCATGCACCCTGGAAGCAGGTGAGATTCTGTCAGAAACCTTTACTCTCTTTCTACTGAGACTTTTTGCTGCCTGTCATTCGTCATTTCTACCTCAGCAGCTTGCCAGTAAGTACTGCTCTGATTATGCAGGCCTAAACAAACAAGTTTGATCCCAAACATGGGACAACTATAGTCTTCAGCTGACTTAAAGTGCTGTTATTCAAAGTTACTTTGACTATAGCGCCCTCATCAGGCCAGTCATTAGACATTTTATAAAACCAGCAGCAGCGCCACCAAATCACAAGCTACCAGTGTCCCGTAGCTTCCATTAACATGGAAATTCCTCCTTTTGCGTATCTATAACATAATTATAAAATTCACAATGCCATGTGTATGAATCAGCTGGTCCTCACCAGACAGGCTGAAGCTGGACTCATGGAGGTCCCTCATGCCCCCATGCCGGGTGCAGGGGCGTGTTGGAGTGTCCAGATCTGAAGAGCCGGTGTCTCTTTTTCCAGAATTTGCCACGGCAACAACTTCACCTGTGTAGGGTTCCCGCTCCACAGCTTTCACCGCCTGGCACTGGCAGAAACATATAGCAATAAGTATTCCTTAAAAACAATACTTTCAACAAACTACGCTGCAGGCTTCCTGTAAAAATGTAGAGAACATAAGTTGAAGTAGCACATATTTATTGACATTCTAAATTAATCTCATTACAGTCTTCAAATCCTCTAATCTTGTCTGAATCTAACAAAGTTCACACACCCTGATCCAAGAATTCTTATCAATTATTGAGTTGTTTTTTTTTTTTTTTTTAAGGAAAAAATATGAAGATGATAGGATCAGCAAACTCTCCTTGCTGTCCCCTAGCAGGGGCTTTATGTTCCACCAGGGGGCACTGAAAGCAATGCATGTTTTAGCAACTGAGTATATTTCTCAACCCCACTGCAAAATTTCTTAGATGCTAACTACACCTCCAGAATCAAGATTAATCAGTGGGAAACACTGAGCTTTGTAGTGGAAGCTCCAACAATCTCTAACATTTTCCCTCTCACAGAACATCCCAATTGATTAAGAGCTATTTGGCCAACTCTGGTTAAATATACAAATTCGTTTTTGATTTTCTAGCTTTCCATCTTTTGTAGTTCCACTATGGAGGATGAGACATGAAATCACAATAAACTACAATTATACATATAACTAAGGAGAAATATAGTGTGAAAAATACATGTTTCTAAATTATGATATAATTAACTTAAATTAGTGCAGCTCTGGTTTATTTTTAACCAACCTTCAACCTTTTCTATGATATTTGCCTTTTTAGTACTGCTTTGTCAATTATCCTATTTTTTTTTTTTATATAACAAATGGGAAGTTCAATCATTACAGTAGGGAGTGCGGCACCGGTGATAGAGAAAAATACATGAAACAACTGTGCCGTATCATCCTATTATAAAATTTAAGTTTATAAACCAATGCTTTGTAAGTGTATTTCAGGTCAGGCTGATACCTTTTCTCTCTGAACCATCTTCTTGTAGAGATAATCCGGGAAAGTCCTCAGTGGGCAAAACTTTCCGGAGCCCTCGGCGCACGTGAACATGCCATTTTCGTAGACCAGACGTCCACGGCTGATGGTGACAATCGGTACACCGTGGCAGCGCAGACCTTCATACGGGTTAATATCACCTCCCTGCACCTGGTTTTCAACAGAAATGACCCTGTAGGCAGAGATTGAAAGACAGAAGTGACCCAGTTTAGCAAAGCAAACGCTGGATCAGCCTTACAGCTTTGATATAAAAGCTGCACTGAGACAAGCTGGTCGATAAATGGATGGATTGAGTTTCATACTTGGATCCCTCTGGGTCCCAGACCACCACATCAGCATCTGCTCCTGGGATGATCCTGCCTTTTCTCGGGTAGAGGTTGTAGATCTTGGCTGCATTTGAGCTTGTGACTGCTACAAAGCGATTCTCATCCATTTTACCTCCAATCTGAAAATGAGAACACGCACACACATT